ATTTTATCCACTGATATGAAATGCCACCTTTCTCTTAAGTCAAATTTCCCTTCTAGATCTGACTATGTTTCTGGACTTTGTATGTGAGCCAGTACCTCAGGATTTTAATTAATATAGCTTTATACTATGTTTTAAAATCAGGGATTTCTAGTTCTTTCTCGTTACCTTTTTCATACTTTTCTTGGCTAGTTCTGAATGTGAACTCTAGAATCAGCTTATCTAGTTAAAAACAAATCTTGTCCATATATGTACTGAGATATTTAAATTACAGATTAAATTAGGGAGAACCAGCTTTTTTAAAAGATTTTTTAATTGGGGAATTGGAGAAGAGGAACAGTGTTGGGAAATTGGGGAAGGGGAACAGCCAAGTTGTTGTCCTTCAGTCTTAGTTGTGGAGGGCGCAGCTAGCTCAGCTCCAAGTCCAGTCACCATCCAGCTGCCCATCGGCAGCTCAAGGCTGCTCAGCTCAAGGTGCCGTGTTCAATCTTAGCTGCAGGTGGGCGTAGCCCACCATACCGTGCAGGAATTGAACGGGCAACCTTGTTGTTAGGAGCACGTGCTCTCACCAGCTGAGCCATCCTGCTAGTTGGCAGCGCAGCAGCAGCTCAGCGTCACTGGCCCATGTGGGAATCGAATTGGCGACACTGTTGCTCAGAGCTCATGCTCTTAACCAACTGAGCCACTTGGCTGGGCCCCCCAACTTCTTTTTAATATTGAGTCTTCCTATGAAAAAACTAGTATGTCTTTTTATTTAAGTTTCTGTTCAGTCTCAATTAAAGTTTTCTTTATATATTGCTTTCACATTTAGTAAGTTTATTTCTAAGTACTAAGTATTTTACTTTTTTCCCTCTCTAATGTAACTAGGATATTTTCTTCCAATATGCTGTCTCCCTGGTAGTTTATATACACAAAGGCTATATATTTTTAAATTATTTTTATATTAATTTTTAATAAAAATTCACATAATTCACATTAACATTTGTATTCAGCTATATTACTGAATCCTTTTTTATATATTCTAATAATTTTCATTTGTTCTCTAGGAATTACTAGATATGTATCATACAACTGCAAATAGCAAAAAATTTACCTTCTCCCTTCAAAATTTTTATACTTTATTTGTATTTCTTGTCTAACTATATTGACTAGTATTTTCAGAAGAATGTCAGATAACAGTGGTGATACTGAATACACTTCTCATTTCCAATTTTACTAGGAACACTTCTAGTGTGACTCCATTAAAACACGATGCTCATTTAGAATGAAATATATTTGCTCATATTGCAGGTATCTAACTACTCACATTTTAAGAATTTTTAATCAAAAATGGATGTTGAATTTTGTCAAGTGCCTTTTTCATCAACTATAGAGTTGATTTTTTCCCTCAGACCATTAATATGGCAAATTATAGCAATAACTCCTGATCCAGAGCCACACTTTTCTTTTTGGTATGAAGGTCACTAGATAGCAGTACATTGTTTGGCTGTTGTTGCACTGCTTGTTTCTATTTCACCTTATTTTATTTGGTTATTTATAAGTGGAATTGATTTATAGTTTCTTACTATATGTGTATTTATGTACCTTTCTGGATTTTGGCATCAATATTATGTTCATTTCATAAAAAGATGTGTTTCTTCCTCTTATACACTATGAAGCAGTTTAAATATTGAAGGTTTGTTTAAATATTAAACGTTGACGTTTTCTGCACATTTAAAGTTTGCTGAGATGATTCATCTGTGATTGATCTGTGAAACCATATGTGCCTGGTAAATTTGGGGATGAGAGTGGGTAGAAGCCTTTTTACTTTCCTTTCCTATGGTAACTTGCCTCAGATTTTTCTATCTTGGTAATATATTTCTCAAAACCGATCAATTTTATCTACTTACATAAATATTTACAGAGAACTAAGAAATCAGTGTCTTTTAATAGCTACAATGTAATCATGTCCCCTTTCTCTTATTTTGTATATTTGTGTTTTCTCTCTTTAAAATATTATGAGGGCCGGCCGGGTGGCGTGATTGTTAAGAACTGGCTTGGGACACCAGAGGGCCCTGGTTCGGATCCCACATATGAGGGCCAGTGACACTGCCCTCTACAGCTAAGATGCTGAACAACAGCTCAACCTGGAGCTGGGCTGCCGTGAGTCGCTGGCCACGGCGTAGGCTGCAGTCCCTGTGGCAGTGGGTTGCCATGGGCTACCATATGTAGCCAGCAGCCAGCGTGAGCGGCCAGCAGCCGCAGTGAGCGGCAGTCCAGAAGCCGGCGACTGATCTGCCTCGCCTGGGAAGAGCGCAATGATGGTGCCAACTTGGGCCAGTGAAGCAACGTCCTCCACAACTAGACTGAAGAACAAAACGACAGCAACTTGTCTGTTCCCCTTCCCCCAATTCTCCAGCGCTGTTCCCATCCCCCAATTCCCCAATAAAAATCTTAAAAAAAATATTATGAAATTCGACAATCAGGGCTCCTCCCCACCCGGTGATCTTTCTATAAGGCCACCTCCAGAGATTCCAAGGCGATTTCCTCTTTGCAGCACATGCTATATGTCAGCTTCTGGGCCAAACAATGGCCTCCCAGATCTGTACAGGAGCCCTGTTCTGTCCAACATCTCCAGTTGTACTTGTTGCAGAATTTTCTATTGCTGGAAGCTTACGAGTGCTCAGGAACTTCCTATATCTTTTGAGACCATGAGGGCATGCCAAAACCGGCCAACAGCTTGAGGGTCAATCTCTCCCTCTGACAAGCAAACAGCAACCAAGGTTCAACTACAACAGGAGGGCACTCACAACCCACACAAGGGACATACCTGGAACATCTGGCTCAGGTGACCACAAAGACTGTGCCACTGGGCCCTACAGCTTACCTACTACATGATGCCACTCTACTAAGACCTGGAGACATAGCAGCCCTACCTAATACATAGAAACAAACACAGGGAGGCAGCCACAATGGGGAGACAAAGAAACCTGTCCCAAATGAAAGAACAGAACAAAACTGCAGAAAAATACAGAGCTGAGCAAAATGGAGATAAGCAATCTATCAGATGCAGAGTTCCAAACACTGTTTTTAAGGATGCTCAATGATCTAGTGAGAACTTCAACAAAGAGACAGGAAACATAAAAATGGAGATAGAAAACATAAAAAAGAACCAGTCAGAAATGAAGAATACAAAACTGAAATAAAGAATACATTAGAGGGAATCAACAGATGAAGCACAGAATCAAATTAGTAATTTAGAAGATAAGGTAGCAAAAAAGCACCCAAGCAGAACAGCAAAAAGAAAAAAGAATCCAGAAAAACATGTAGAGTTTAAGAGACCTCTGGGACAAAATACGTACCAACATTCACATGACAGGGGCACCAGAAGGAGAAGAGAGAGAGCAAAAAACTGAAAACCTATTTGAAGAAATGATGATGGAAAACTTCTCTAACCTGAAAAAGGAAATAGACATACAAGCCCAGGAAGCACAGAGTCCTAAACAAGATGAACCCAAAGAGGCCCACACTAAGACACATCATAATTAAAATGGCAAAGATTAAAGACAAAGACAGAATCTTAAAAGCAGAGAAAAGCAGTTACCAACCAACACGGGAGCTCCCATGAGACTGTCAGCTGGGTTCTCAACATAAACTCTGCAGGCCAAAAGGGACTGGCATGCAATATTCAAAGTGATGAAAAGCAAGAACCTACAACCAAGATTACTCTACCCAGCAAAGTCAGCATTTAGAATCCCAGGCAACAAAAGGCTAAAGGAGTTCATCACCACCAAACCAGCATCACAGGAAATGTTAAAGGGACTTCCTTAAGAAGAAGAAGAAGGTAAAAAATGTGAATAATAAAATGGCAATACCTACATATACAGACAGAAAGTAAAAAGATGGAAAAAGATATTTCATGCAAATGGAAACAAGCAAACAAAAAAGCTGGAGTAGCAGTACTTATACCAGACAAAATAAGCTTTAAAACAAAATATAACAAGAGACAAAGCAGGACCCAGTAATTCCACTTCTGGGCACTTATCTGAAGAAACTCCAAATGCTACTTCAAGGGAACATGTGCATCTATCTATTCATTGCAGCATTGTTTACGATGGGCAAGATGTGGAGGCAGCCTGGGTGTCCATCAGTGGATGAATGGATAAAGAGGCGGTGTGCGCGCGCGCACACACACCCACACACACCCACACACACCGGGAATATTACTCAGCCATGAAAAAAATGAAATCCTGCCATCTGCAACAACATGGAGGGACCTAGAGGGTACTGTGCCGAGTGGAGTAAGTCTGAGAAAAACAAATGCCATATGTTTTCACTTACATGTGGAATCTAAAAAACAAAAACAAACAAAACAGAAACACCCTTATAGAAACAGAGATCGTTTTGATGGTTGCCAGATGGGAGGGGGTTGGGGGAATGGGTGAAAAAAGTGAAGAGATTAAGAAGTATAAATTGGTAGTTACAAAATAGTCATGGGGATGTAAAGTATAGCATAAGGGATGTAGTCAATAATATATGTGGAATCTAGAGAATAGGGTAATGAACAAGCAAAACAGAGATAAGTTCATAGATACAGAGAGCATTTTGATGGTTGCTGGGTTGGAGGAGGGTGGGTGAAGCAGGGAGGTATAAAGTGGTAGTTACAAAATAGTTATGGGGATGTGTACTATAGCTCAGGGAATATAGTCAGTAGTACTGTAATAATTATTTATGTCAGACTGGTACTGGATTTAAGGGTAATCATCCCATAAGATATATAAGTGTCTAATCACTCGGGTGTTATACACCTGAAACTAATATAATATTGTATGTCAACTGTAAATAGAAAATACTTTTAAAGATTATAAGAGAATTAGATCTCTTTATAAGAATATGAATGTTTACTTGCTATTTCATGATGAACTAAAATAAAGACTACCTCAGGCATAGTTCTCTTAAATTATGAAATAATAGTTACATTTATATATGTGTAAATTGCTTACCAATATTTTTAATAAAAATACCTTTTTTGATCAATTTCTTGTTGTTGTTTAACATGTTTTTGCTCAAATTCACGAATGTTTTCCACTCCAATTTCTTCACAGAAGTGTTGGAAAATATCATCTTCAACCTTTAAAATTATTTCAAAATAATTGGTTTAATAATTAATTTTAAGAAAGTATATAAACAATGCTTAAATCGAAGTTTTTCCCAACAAGGTTTTCCTGGATGAGGCCCCAAACAATTCCCAACAAGCATTACTGTACTTTAAGGGGCCAGTGCTTTCTTATTAGCTCCATACACTATGCCCATCTATCTTCAAATTTCTTATTCTAAAAATTAAATAAGAAAGCTCAGAATTGGTTTTATTAAGAGTTTTGGCTTTATGAAATGTTTAACACAAAATCGGAAGCATTTCAATTACATTAGCCATGGCAATATATATTATTTTACATAAACGAAAGTCTTTGTGTGAGGGGACTATAGCGTCTCAGGAAGTATAAGGCCAAGAGGACTAGAGCAGAGGACTAAGACTCAAAAAGATTTTGAAAAACTAGAATGAGCCAAATCCAACAAAATAACATTTAACCTCAATATTTTTAAAGCCCTGCATCTATGTACAATTACAGGATAAACAGACCTATTTTTTTAAACAGTAAGATATATTAAAAACTTTCCAGTTTTATTGTAGTTGAATATAGATTAAATATGCAAGTGATATGATCGATGCAATAGTAGCTATAATCTACTATTAAGCAGAGAAGCCAAACCATAGAAAGTTATGGTTCCACGTGTAGTGTTCCATGGTACTCAGTACTGGTCAGGCAGTGTTTTGACATTATGCTTTGTTCTGGGCACTGACAAACAATGGAGAACCCAGAAGATGGTTACCAGGACTGGTCTTAACTCCACGGTAAACGTAAATGATTAAGGAATTAGGAGTATTTAACCTGGAATATAGATAATTAAGGAGCTACATAACTGTGGTTTCAAATCATGTGATAAAAGTAGAACTAAAAGTAATGGGTGGAAGTTACTGAGTGATGGTGTGACAAACAGCTTCCTAAGGAGTAAAGATAAGCAACAGCGGAATGAATTAAATCAGAAAGTTCCTGTCACTTTATAAGCAGAGGCTAGATGGCCAAATCTTTGTTGTCCCAGAGCCACGCACTGTGCCTGGCAAATATAATAAATGTTCCAGAAATAATTACTGAGTGAATAAGTAATCTTAAAAGATAACCTGAATGACAAAGCTCTTTCTCTTCTAGTGTTAAGGGAAGTGGCAGAAATAAAGAGGCTGTAATGTTTACAATGAGCAAGCGGAGGATGGAGGGTAGAAGGGAGTAACTATGCACTGGTCATTGTCTCTTAAGATAGACAATAGTGGTTTTCAAAAGACACAAGAAAATTAATTTGGCAAACCCATAAAACTCAGCACTTATCATACTTTGCTTTAGCACATACTCAAGACCCCTAAATCTGGCATCTGGTGAGGAACTACATTCTACATGCCATTTAATAACAAAAAAATCATTCATGACCTTATTGATCTTTTCTTGAAATACTTCAATTCTTTTTTGCCGTTCTTTGATTCCTTCACTCAACATGGTACATTGAGACTCAATATTTAGTAGTTCACTTTGTAGCTGAGATTGTTCCTAGTTACAAAAGACAAAAAATTTATTTTTTAACGTGACTATTTTAGCTTTATATGATGAAGCCAAAAATGTGCTAAGTATCTTTTAGAATAAAGAGAATCCATGAGATAAGGTAAATTCAGGTACAATTGTATGATAAGATTAACAACCATAAAAATAAAGTAGCTAAAGGACTATAATATAATCCCAATCATGGGGTAAAGTGTAAAATTACATGGCACTACATAAATACAATTCCTAAAATTCTAGATCCTGGTTCTAATTTCCATAAAATTGTATGTAAGTCTATATTACCCGGTAGACAGCAGCAAGGCGCTTCTTTTTAATCAACTCTAGTTCACTTTGTGAATATTTGAGTCGTGTATGAGTTCCTTGTAGCAGAGTCTGTATTTGTTTCAAGTCGGTTTCCTTGCGAAGCATCTTCATTAAACCCTAAAGAGGAAAAGAAATATATGACAACATTTTACAATAGAAAAGCACTTTCATTTTTCAAAGTGCTTTCATATGTCGCAACTCACTGATGTTTTACAGATAACTATCATTCACACTCCATCTTCCCTTCTTCTGGTCAATTAAGTACCTAAGCCATCTGGAGTAGCCAAGATGCCACACAGCATCCTCAAACTGAACATACCTCCTAACAGGAAACAGTTAGGCATGAAAACTGAGGGTGGCGGAGGGCGTGTTTCACTCACGGCACATAAATGGGGTCATAGGACAAATGCTGCCTCACTTTTAGCGCATCCTTGTTTTTGTTTGCCTCGTCCTTTCTCTTCTCTCTTCACCCACCCTATTGTTCAACCAAATTAACTCCCTAGTATATGCTCTTCTGTATTTTTACTCCAAGTCCTTACATGAATACATACATATATATATATATATATATATATATTCACCTATATATTTTGTTTTTTGTCTTCTTTTACAAATTTAGAATCACATTGAACATGCTTTTCTGCCTCCAGCTTCTCATTCAGTTACTCACAAAAATCAACTGATAAAGCTGTAAATTCATTTTTCATTTTTAATGGCTGCATATTCCACAGTGTGACTGTACCAAAATGATTCAACTATTCTTGAAATAATGGGCATTCATGGTTTCCATGTTTTTGTCATCATAAACAATACAGCAACAATATATGTGTCTGTATAATATACCCTCAAGTCCTAGTGTTTTTATTTCTACGCAATAGATTCCCCAGGGTGAGATGGATGGGTCAAAGGTATTGATGGTTTTATTTTAATAGCTGGTGCTGACAGCTCTCCCAAAGGCTGTAACAATTCACATTTCTGTAAATAATGTATGAGCACGTTTCTTTACATCTATCTCCACCAGCATATTTATTTTTTCCAAGTATTATTGATAGGTATGAAGTAATCTTAATTAGTATTCCCCTGAGTATTATATTCTCTATTGAGCATATCTGTATGTTTACTAGCTACATGGATTTCTTCTTTCTCTCAACTGCCTAATCCTATCCTTCGCCCAGATGTTTGTCTTTTTTTTATGTCAATTTGTAAAAACAAAAGTTCTTTGATTGTATAGAACCTACAATCTTTATTTTAAACTTAAAAAAAATGTATACAATGGCTTTTATCCTCACTTAAAAATTTTTTTGAATTCAAGTTTTTAAACAATCGGGAATTTATTTTTGTTATACGGGACACAAAATTACTTTCTCTAAATGTGCCAATACATTTATTGAACAATCTATCCTTTCCCCACCAAACCAAAACATTGATTTGTTCTATACTAAATTGTCAAATATACTGGGTCCTATTTCTAGAATTCCTATCTGCTTCATTAACCTGTCCATTCATATGCAAATGCTGCACCAACTTAACTAAGATGGCTTTTCATAGTATTTGTACCTGGCAGGAGAAGGCCTGCCTCACTCTCTTTTGTCACCTATTTTTTTTTACTAGTTTCAGGAAATTCTTCATTTGTAAGGGTCAGAAGATCATTTATCAAATTAAAAAATCCTTGGTAGTATTTTAATTAAAACTGTATTCAAGTTATGTATTAATTGGAAGACTTCTAACCCAAGAATATAGTATGTTTTTCCTTTAAGTTGTTTTATGTCCTTCAGTAAGTTTAGTTTTCTGAAGTTACTGTATTTATATTTACATTTGTTTCTATTGTGAGCAAAATATTTCTCCATTTCTACATGCTTTTTGATAGTATACAAGAAAACTAGTTTTATTTATGCAGCCCTCCCATTATCTTATTAAATCTAGTAGTTTTTAAACTACCATCTTATTATCAGCAGAGTTTTTCTCTTTTTTTCAAAGATTTATACAAATTATTTCATTTTGTGCCTAACTGTATTTACTATAACTTCCAAGATCATCTTAAATAATGGAAATTAAGTAATGGTAATAGCAGATACCTCTACTTCCTGATTTCAACTAAAATGGTTTTAATTTTAGCAATTATGTGTCAGTTTTGGGTATGAGCTATGTATTTAAATAATTTCCACCAAATTACTCTTTTACTTAGTACTTTAATTCAGACTAGCTGCTGAACTTGACCAAGTGCCTTTCTACATAGGATCTTTGGAATTTTCTCCCGCTGTTGATTTGTTCATGTAATGGGTTATGCTGATTGGCCACTTACTATTGAAACACTCATGTAGTCTTGGGACAAATCCTGTTCAGTCTGGTGTATTTTTATTTCACCACATTGCTGAATTCTCTATACTGATATTTAATTTAGAAATTATGCATTTATATTCACAAGGGAAGACTTATTTTGTAGTCTCTTTATATTTGATATTAAAGTTATACTAACTTTATAAACTGGAAAGTTTCCATTTTTTCCTATGATCCAGAATGACTTAAATAACACGAGAATTATATTAGATGAAACTCAGTTGTAAGCATATCTGGTCCCATAGTCTTTTTTTTTAACTTGTGGCTAAAATATACATAAAATAAAATTTACCAATCTTTACCATTTTTAAGCGCACAGTTCAAAACTGTTTAAGTACATTCCCAGTGTGGTGCACCCAATCTCCACAACTCTTTTCATCTTGCAAAAGTGCAACTCTATACCCTTTAACAACTCCCCATTCTCCTATCCCCTGAACCCCTGACAACCACCATTCTATTTTATCTCTATGAATCTGATAACTCCAGGGACCTCATCTAGGTGGAATCATACAGTATTTGTCTTTCTGTGACTGGCTTATTTCATGTAGCATAATGCATTCAAGGTTCATCCATTTTGTAGCATGTGTTAGAATTTCCTTCCTGTTTAAGACCAACAAGTATTCCATTGTGTGTAGAGTACATGTTGGTTATCCATTTATCCGCTGATGGACACGTGCATTGCTTCCACTTGTGGCTACTGTGAATAATGCTGTCATGACCGTGGGTGTACAAGTATCTCTTCCAGACTCTGCTTTCAATTCTTCAGTGTATATACCCAGAAGCAGAATTGCTATATCATATGATAATTCTATTTAAAATTATTTGAGTAGCCACCATACTGTTTTCCACAGCTGCTGTACTGTTTTCAATGGTAGATCATTCAACTAACAGTGGCTTTAAAAATGTGGATGTTGGGCCAGCCGAGTGGTGCGATGGTTGGGGACTGGCTTGGGACACCAGAGGGCCCCGGTTCGGATCCCACATGTGAGGGCCAGTAACACTGCCCTCTACAAAAAAAAAAAAAAAAGTGGATGTAATAGGGCTGGCCGAATGGCTCAGTTGGTTAAGAGCTCGCTCAAGAGTTTGAGCTCTGAGCAACAGCGGTTCGCATCCCGGCCCGAGCTGAGCAGAGCTGAGCAGACGCTGAGCTGCCAACAGGTAGCAGGATGGCTCAGCTAAAAAAAACAAAACAAAAAAAACACACTGTGGATGTATTTTTCTTACACAAAAGCAGTCTAGGGTGATACAGTTTCTCAGCAACACACCGAACTTGCAGCTTCTCAGTACAATGATTTTTATCCTCATGCTTGCTGTCTCCTGGTGCGAGGTTCCTGCTTTATCTCTAGGCTTCTTGACTGAGTTCCAGTCGGGAAGAAGAAAATGTAAAAGGGAACACCAATACTTCCATTTATAGCTCCCAAACTGTCACATGGCCACCACTAGCTAAAGCACACTAGACATTAAGTTGTTTAGTTTTTATGATTCTATAATAGAGACAAGCAAGGAAGACGTGGTGGCTGTCTGACACTGCCTAACTTTTCAAATATCCCACTTTCTGGTCATCTTGGTAATTGACATTTTTCTGAAAATCACCCATTCTTCCAGCCCTTCACTTTTTTTAAAACTGTATATTTGCTTGTAAGATTCTCTTAAAATTATATTAATTTTCTCATGCCTGCTCTGTGTTTACTGCTAACTTTTCTTCCCTTCATTAGAGTTGCAAAGAGTTTATCTATATGATTAGTCTTTTCAAAAGAACCAGCTTTTATATTCATTTGTCCCTTTTCTATTTTGCGTTTTCTATTTAATTTCAGCTTTAAAAAATTCCACTATAGTTTTTGTTATTTTGTGGTTGCCCTTCTAATTTGCTCAAGTAGTAAGTTCCCTTATATTTCATTTTTCTTCTTTAATAACGAAGGTATCTTCAGAATACTCTTACTTCCACGCCTCATTACAGATGAGACCTCTGGAGCACATTTATTTCACTCTCCGGGTCCAATTCCTAGGTTTAGCCGAGTTAGTTTAACACTATTCACTATTATAACTAGGTCTATCCTAATCCACGTGTGGTTTAGAGCGCTCTCTCTGGCATTCTCGTCCCAGGGAGGACACAGAGGATGTGCCCTCTGCATTTGCTTACATGCAGATTCCTGAAATGTAAACCATGTCTTGGGTTATAGTCCTTTTCCTTAGTTGCCTGTAGCTATTACTCCAGTCTCATCCAGTTTTATAGTCTGATAAAAGCTTTTATTTTTAATCTAAGGAATATTTCGTAAAGCAAGGGGTTATTTTAGCATTGCTTTTATAACCTAGGAGTTCAGGAATTACACCAAGATCTGTGTTATTTTGTGCCTTTTCCCATCAAACTTGCATGGAACTATGTATGTCCTTTCAATTGGTCAATTAAGGTGCATGCTCAGATTGGAGCCATTTTTTCTTTTTTGTTTATTTCCTCTCCTCTGTGTTCCTCTTCCTCCTTCGGGAACACTTATTCTTATGTGAAGTCTCCTGAGTCTACCTAAGGCTCTATTTTTCTCATGATTTCTTTTCCCTTTTAATTTTGTTCCCCTCATTGAGATGCTTCTTCCAGTTGGTCTTCCAGGTTACTAACTTGGTTCTCAACAATGACAATGCAGTCCTTCCATTCATCTGTGGTGTTCTAGAGTCAAGAAATACGTTTTCGTTCTGAAGTCTTTCTTTTTTTGCAGGGGAGGAGGGAGGTCTGACACTACACTGAATCTCCTTAATGCTCCTTTACTTTTTCGTTCAAGTTTTTTCTGGCTCCTGGAACGCCTCAGGTGCATTTATGTATTGCTTTTCCCACTGAGGATTGGGTCTGGGCATTAAAGTACCCTAAATGGCAGCCGTCCCATAGGGATTCTCTACGCCCAAAGGCAGCATTATAACAGAAGACCATCAGTGTCCCACTCTGAGACTAAGGAAAAGGTGTCTCTCTGGTCTCCCTGGACTTTTCCAAACTCAGAAAGAGGGAGGCCAGAACCTACTAATATTTCGCTTCGTGGGGTTCAAGAAGACCGGACATATTCACATGGGACAAATGCCTAACTTACCCCGGAATCCCCTATGTCCTGGTTCTTTGCCCAGCACTCTTCACAGATCAAGAGAGGAAGCCCAGCGTCAGCCTTCCCTGGTGATCTCCCTCAGAACCCGACATCACTCACACCCAGCTGTCCACTAGGTCCAGGCAGGGCACACAGCGGGCAGTCACTATGCACATGCATAGGAAACCAGATTAATTTCAAGTTGCCACTTTCCTAGAACTTTCTCTGTGCCTAGGCCTAAGTTTGTAAAATCTTTAAAAGTTAAATATTTCTGATCAAATATATAGTGATGGAAGGAGAACTGACTCTGGGTGGTGAACACACAATGTGATATATAGATGATGTATTACAGAATTGTATACCTGAAATCTATGTAACTTAACTAACAATTGTCACCCCAATAAACTTTAATTAAAAAAAAGTTAAATATTTCTACACCTTAGACAAAAACATAAAATGTGCTCTTATGCTTACAGAAAATGATTAAAATTAGTTGGGTAACTTTGTCAGACTATTTCCTTGAACTCAAAACTGGTCATTTGTATACATAAAAAAAGAAAGCTAAACAGAAAAAAATAAATCTAAAAGCATCCTACTGACTTAGCAGCTATTAAAAAGTTGACATTTCAAGAAGCATGTGTGGGTTCTAATATTCAACCAATGATACCTGATAAAATGGCAAGTCAGTTGGCAAAAATGAAGCTCAATCCCCAGTCATCAACATGATATAAATGCTAAATACACAAAAGCACTTGAAAGAAACATTATTAAAATTCTTCTGTAATCTTCAAAAAGAATCAAGTCTTTCTGAACATGACATTAGAACCCAGAAGTTATAAAAGATTAATAAATTTAGCTACATAAAGATTAAAAACACATGCATGACAAAAATTCAAATGTCAAACAGATCCTGAGCAATAACAAGGAATAAACTTTTGATACACGTAACACCACAAATCTCAACAGCTTTAGGCTAAATGAATAAAGCATGACACAAAAGATTACTTACTGTATGACTCCATTTATATGAAATTCTAGAAGAGAAAAAACTACAATGATAGAAAGTAGATTGGGCTGTCAGGGTCCACAGGGCACAGGGGAAGGGGCTGACTACGAAGGAATTTTGGGGGGTGATGGAAATGTTCTATAATCTATATCATTGTAGTGACAAAAAAAAGTCAAACGGAATATATTTATAACACATATGACTAAAGACTAATTTACTGATAATACAAATAATTCTTAAAGTAGGTAATAACAACCTCATAGAAAACTGTGCACAGGAAATAAGCAGTTCACAGAAGAAAATATTACAAAAAAACAATAAATACATGAAGAAATGAAATGTTTACCCTCAGTTATAATTTTGGGTAAACGACTGAATTACAAAGATTAAAATATTTGCTAATATCTAGTGTTGAAATCGAGGGACACTGATACTCTACTATAGGTTTTCTTTTGATGGGAATTTAGTAATATCTATCAACATTTTAAGTACACAGATCTTTAGTCCCAGAAACTCTATACAGGAATTTATCTTAGAGATATATTTATACAAATAAATATATAATAACAACATTTATATAGTGCTTACATATGGCAGGCATTGTTTTAAGTATTCTATCTGGATTAGCTAATTTTATCCTTAAAATAACCCTAAAAGGAAGGTACTTTTATCATCCTCATTCTACAGATGGGGAAACTCAAGTACAATGTGGTTAGGTACCTATGCCGAGGTTATACTGCTGGTAAGTGGCAGAGCTGGGATTCAAACCCAGGCCATGTGGCCATCAAACTTATACTCTTAGGTACTATGTTACTCTCCCTCTTTAAAGAATATTGAGGGGCGGCTCAGCGACTCAGTTGGTTAAGAGTGTAAGCGCTGAGCAACAGGGCCGCTGGTTTGATTCCCACATGGGCTAGTGAGCTGTACCCGAGCTGCACCCGAGCAGAGCTGCAGATGAGCTGCCAACAGGTGGCAGAATGGCTCAGCTGGTGAGAGCGCGTGCTCCTAACAACAAGGTTGCCAGTTCGATTCCTGCATGGGATGGTGGGCTACGCCCACCCGCAACTAAGATTGAACACGGCACCCTGAGCTGAAGTGCCCTGAGCTGTCGACGGCCAGCCGGATGGCTCAGCATTTAGTGCGTACGCTCTTATCAAGAAGGTTTCCGGTTGGACTGCCGCATGAGATGGTGGGCTATGCCCACCAGCAACTAAGATTGAAGGACAACAACTTGGCGGTTTCCCTTCCCCAATTCCCCAACACTGTTCCCCTCCCCCAACCCCCAATAAAATCTTTAAAAAAAAGAGAATGTTTAATGCTGCATCATTTGTAATAGAAAATAAACAAAATATCCATTATTGAAGCTTGGTTAAATAAACAACATCTATACAATGAAATGGCAGGCAGGATTCATTAAAAATAAAGTGGTTCTCTATATGCTAAAATAAAAACATGTCCATATTATGATAGTAATGAAAAAGCTTGTTGCAAACACTACAGCAAAGGTCTTTTATAAAACAAATAGGAAAAATAATACATATACTTGCACACACAGAGAAAATTTCCGGAGGCTATGCATAAAATTGTTTTTGGAAATACTACTGAGATGTAGCACGAGTCAGGAAAAGATTTTTATTTTTTACTTTATTGCATTCTGCAATATTTGATTTTTTGTTTTTTTTAACTATAGGCATGGTACTTTTATTACCAAAAAAACTTACTTTAAAAATACAATTATTCTACTTAATATTCTACAATTTTTATAACATGGATTTACCTTTAATTCTTCCATTAGCTGGGTTCTTCTGTCTCTTAAATTCTTTAACTCTTTCTCATCCCAGCATCTAGCCTTGTATTTTAAGTCACTTGACCCTCCAGAGATCACCCCAGATTTTAAAAATAATGTTCCATCAAGAGCTACCGTCTGTAAAAATAAAAAAAATTTACCTTGGAGAAGTGTACATAAAGATAAATATAGGACATAATAAGGCAATTTTTACAGTTGAGAATTTGCAGATGAGAAAAAATCACTTAATAAAATACCTAGCTTAAGAACACCAATCACTAAACCACAAATACAAAACCCTGTTTTGCTATGGTCCAAAGCAATTCTAGGCAACAAATTAACAATTAAAAAGGTTTAAAATAGATTATATATTAATTCCAAATGTATTTAATACTGAGAAGGAAAGAAACTAAGAATATTTGTATTTAATATCAAATAGCTTGCATTATATAATCCTGTATTTTGAGGAGTATGACATCACATGTCAATGAACAGCCTTAGTAACTTTAGGATACCAAAAATATCACATTCTCCGAAATGGATATGAAACTGGGACCAAGAAAAAAAAAATTATTGTATCTTTGGTTAAGGGGAATGGATAGAATAATCACATGTATTTAAAGAGAATCCAGGGCTGGCCGAGTGGCTCAGTTGGTTAAGAGCTCGCTCAAGAGTTTGAGCTCTGAGCAACAGCGGTTTGATGCCCGGCCCGAGCTGAGTTGCCGCTGAGCTGCCCAAAGGTGGCAGGATGGCTCAGCTAAAAAAAAAAACCAAAAAAAAAAACCACAATAATATTTAAAGAGAATCCAGATTTTAAAATTTTGTTACATAAATTTAAAGAATATTTTAAAATTGAGTTATCGTAAGAATCTTGATAACCAAATTATAGCTAGCAGAATTGCTGTAATTTATATTATGTAGTTTATATATACTGTATGTAGTTTATAAACTAGCCTAAATATCATTTTATGATGTCACTTGCAGTGTTTAAATAAAGAAAATTATAAAACATGATATCAAGCTTATGGAAAGATAATGAAGTACATGGAAAACCAAAAGCACAAACTGAAGACATCAGATGAAATTTGTAAAAATTAGACATCTATCCAAATGTTTTATGTATCCTAAAGCATAAAGACAATTCTTTATGTGGAATAATAATAGGAAGAAGATAAAATTCCTGGACTACACTTAAGATACAAATGACAAAGCTGATTAAAATTTTGAAAAAATTATAAGAACAAGACATAGCCAAACGGGGTAAGGCATCTTACTGTAAACAGATATAAACTATTAATATTTGTTGAATGCAAGAAGGAATAAACAGCCTTAGCTTCATGTGACTTCTTTAAACTAATCACACAAATCTTCAAAAATTAATTTTACAAAATCAATTTCACAGATGTGCAAAAGTAAATTTTAGCATAGTTAATTCGGTAGCAAAATAAGGAAGATATCTTAGTAGTTTGCTTATACCTGCTTAAATTTACTACATAGAAATCAATGACAGTGATTACTCAAGCCTGTGATCACATTATTATTAAGATTATTATTGACAGAAGTACTAAAATATATGAGAAGTTAATCATGTTAGACAGTCAATAAATTTAACTGAAAATTACTGTCTTTCATAAGAATAGCCTGTTTTGTGTGAATCTGTAATTTTGGACATTCCAGATAAAATGTTTTTTTTTTTGTTTGTTTGTTTGTTTTTAAAGATTTTTATTGGGGAATTGCGGGGATAGGAACAGTGCTGGGGAATTGGGGGAAGGGGAACAAATGAGTTGCTGTCATTTTGTTCTTCAGTCTAGTTGTGGAGGATGTTGCTTCACTGGCCCAAGTTGGCACCATCATTGCGCTCTTCCCGGGCGAGGCAGGTCAGTTGCTGACTTCTGGACGGCTGCTCACAGCGGCTGCTGGCCGCTCACGCTGGCTGCTGGCTACACACGGTAGCCCATGGCAGCCCACTGCCACAGGGGACTGCAGCCTCCACCGTCACCGGCGACTCACAGCAACCCAGCTCCAGGTTGAGCTGTTGTTCAGCATCTTAGCTGTGGAGGGCAGTGTCACTGGCCCTCATATGTGGGATCCGAACCGGGGCCCTCTGGCATCCCAAGCCAGCTCTTAACCATTGCGCCACTCGGCCGGCCCCCAGATAAAATGTTTTAATTACTAGTAAATAAAAAAATCACTACCGGGCCGGCCGAGTGGCGTGTTGGTAAAGAACTGGCTTGGGACGCCAGAGGGCCCCGGTTCGGATCCCACATATGAGGGCCAGTGACACTGCCCTCCACAGCTAAGATGCTGAACAACAGCTCAACCTGGAGCTGGGTTGCTGTGAGTCGCCAGCGACGGCATAGGCTGCAGCCCCTGCGGCAGTGGGTTGTCATGGACTACTGTGTGTAACCAACAGCCAGCGTGAATGGCCAGCAGCCGCAGTGAGCGGCCGTCCAGAAGCCGGTGACTGATCTGCCTCACCCAGGAAGAGCGCAATGATGATGGTGCCAACTTGGGCCAGTGAAGCAACATCCTCCACAACTAGACTGAAGAACAAAACGACAGCAACTTGCTATTCCCCTTCCCCCGATTCCCCAATAAAAATCTTTAAAAAAAAAAATCACTACCACTTTTTAGTTATTTGCCAGGCACTATAATAGCACTTGGCATTATTACTTAATTTAATCCTTATAACTCTATGAAATAGGCACTATTAAGTCCCCAATTTTAGATGAAAAAATGAAAATTAGAGGTTTAAACTTGCCTAAAGTCACATAATTAATTACCAAGTAACATCATTGGTCTTATTTCATAGCTTATACCCTTAGGTACTCTGTAATGCTTCCTGACAAGTGTAGTTAAAAAAAACAACTCTCATCCGACAATCCAAGAAATTAAACATTGCTTAACTAAATACAAACTCTATTCAACTAAGACTAAAACAATATTTATTCTTAAAACTAAAACTATTTGGTTGTCGGGAAAGTCATGACGTATTTTTTCTGTTTTTCGTTGCAAAAATGCGTCATGATTTTTCTGACAACCCAATATTTCCTTGAGCAATCAGATGAGTGACCTCCTTTCAGTTGTGTCATTTCTATAACTTCAAATGTGTTGAAACCCTGTGTAAAAGGAGGTTTATCTACACTGAGCTACGGAAGTGTTAACCCAGAAGGTAAAGTCAGCGCCTAGAGGCTTTGCTGCCATTCAGAAGCACAGGTTCTATATATGCTATATACACGTGGGGATATCGAGATTTGGCAATGGCATTTATGATATATAAAGTAAAAAATAAGTTAACTGCTTCAAGGTACTATTACAAGAAATCTAATTTCTAAAATATAACTGATGATATTGAGAAATGCTACAGAAGTTAACTTTTTGAAAACTCAACTGAACATTATAAGAACTACTAGTCATAGCCATCTTAGGTTCTATGTTAGTTTTCCTTATTAAAAGCGTCATATGAAAGCATAAATAAATATCTGTGTGTGTAATGTTAGTCTTATAAACATTGCTTCAAATGAGCCAAAAGTGCAATCTAAGTCTCTTACTTTCTGTCTTTCAGGTCCACGGAATGCAATGTGCCTTGCTTCCTCCACAGTCTCACAGACGAGACCATTTCCACACACAAACTGAATCACTTTCTTCAGCTGAGGAAACTGAGTCTTTATGACATCAATCATCATCTTACAGCCTTTAATCTCCCGCAACCTTTCATTGATTGGCTTGATCTAAAACGTTTAAAAAATACTTAATATATTAGATACATTAAAACAAAAACCAAATACTCAGTACATTCTTTCTCAAAAAACATAATAAGTGTGACAGTGAGAGCTTAATAGCATGCACTTATATACAATAAAAGTTTGACAAGAACCTGATGAACTATATCCCACCATTGGCTAGTGTAGTATTTTTAAAAGACACTTCGCCAAAAGCCAGAAGACAGAATTTCCAGATTCAACTGTCACTAACCCGCTGGGACAAAGCAATGCATGAGAAGGGCTGCATGCTCTCAAAAGCATCCTGCTAGGAGGGATAATACCCACACGTGTGTCCAAGGAGTGGCACACATTGAACTCAAAAACTCATCTTAGACTTAAATAATTAGGAAAGCCTCCAGACCTTCTTTGACATGACTTAAATTGGGTCTAAAAAAATTAAATCCAAAAAGTGTCTGCAATGTATTACTGAAAAATAGTAAGCGTGATCTCACTTTTGTAAAACAAAGCAAAACCCTATATACTACCAAAATGTATACATACACATATACTTGGGAGTGTATATATATATATATATATATATATATATATATATATATATAAAATGTGTATGTATGGAAGCAATCTAAAGTAGTTACAACTAAGGAGTTGGGCATTGAGGAGAGGAAGAATATTTCCTTTACATTTTATAACCTTCTGTATTAGGTTTTTTAAAAATGAGTGCGCCTTAGAAAAATCTTCAGGGTGAAATAAGTAAATCGGGAGTTTAACAGGCAGATGAATTAAGCTACATGGTTTTTCAGTGGGCAGAAGGTATAACAAAAGTGCGGAAGTACAAAAGGCAAGTCTGGACCATTAGTGCCCAGCCTGCGCTTGCTGAGCCCCTCCTCTGTGCCAGGCTTGTGCTCGGCGCTCTTCATGCAACGATTCTCTGTGACAGTCTAACAGGGAAAGGACTACTTCCTCCACTTCACAGATGAAGAAATTGAAACTCAGCAAAATTAAGAAGAGTTAGTGAGAACTAATTAAAAGTAGGGCTGGAATCTGCACTCAGGTCAGTCCAGTCTAGGGCACGTGCACTTCATCACTATACACGCTGCCTATAGTTCAGTAGAACATTTTCTTTAGTAGCCAAGAGAAACCTCACTGAAGGATGCCAATCATGATAAAGTACCCAGGCCTTAAAGACTCTGGGTACTTTAAGGCCTCTTCACACATACCTCAAAGCTAAGCCTGTTCCACCAAGAGCTGATATGTTATTTACAGGAGTACATATTTACAATCCAGACTCTGCATTGGCAGATCGCCAAAAGACCACATGTCTTATCCATCTCCCACACTTTGTTATTGAGTAAAAAATAAGTTGCTGGCTATAGGCTAGAGCAATGTCCTCAGAATCATCAAAGTAAAACTGTGGCAAAACTAGATATGAAAGAAATGATACCGAGTCAAAAAAGACAGTGCCCACCTGATATTATTCTTTACCTGATGATACATTAACACCTGTCATTGAGTGACTGGCAGACTGGCATCCAAGCTATGACATTTTTCAATCACTACCATAAAAGGCAAGAATTTTTTCACTACTAAATACTAAACTTTGTACATTTCTTACATCAAGGAAATCTAGAGCAAGAAATGTCTCAGGCTCAGCTCTTTCCTCCTTCAGAAATCGAATACAGTCTCTTGCTACGTTTTCAGTGGTTACAACAATGGCAACCATGTACCGGCCGAAAAGCTTCGTAACAGCCAGCTGGTATTTCTTATGAATCGGATGACACAGGTCAAGCAATCTTCCAAACTTAGCAGGTTTCAAAACAGAGAGAAAAACCAAGACATTAGTGAGGAACATGTAATTCATTGTTTTCTAATGTGACAAAGCAACACAGACCAAACTAATTTTATAAAATTATAAACATCAGAATTGAACAGTCTTATTCAAATGGACATAAGTTTCATCATGAAATATCCATTTAGGTGTGTCACTCTTCATTTAAGAAAAGAGTAATAAGGAGGGGTAGCTTACCACGGTATTAAAATATTTTACAAAGCTACAGTAATTAAACAGTATTTATCCATTCCCTGTTTACTAAATAAGAATTTATGAGGCTCTTCCATCACTATCACACGCAGGTACTGAGCCAGGCTCTGGGGAAAAATTACTGAACAAAACAGGTACTCCCTGACCTCACAGAGCTTTCCATCTAGTAGGGAAGACAGATATGAAGAATCAGTAATTACACGCATGTACAGAATAGAATTCTACCAGACACCGTGATCAAGCACAGAGCGCGCTCAGAGTATGTAACAGGGACATGGGTGACCTGAGAAGTCAGGGCAGGCTTCCCACGAAGAAGTGTTATTTGAGATCTGGAGGGTGGTCAAGAATGAATTAGACCGAAATTCAGCAAGTTTACTTAAAAATGTCAGCATGTCAAGTCCTGTAACAATGCTCCTTAGACTAGCTGAAGAGTCAATGTCATATCTTAGGCTCTTTCTTCATTTGCTAGTTTCCACTTCAGGAATGCCACTGTCTTCCCAATAGCTCATGATGGTCTTTAAGGTCTACTGCCCTGCTCCTTGCTTTTTCCTCTCCGTTCCCCTGTGATTACAGTCATCCCCCCTTATCTGCAGTGTTGCTTTCCGTGGTTTCAGTTACTGCAGTCAACCACAGTCTGAAAATATTAAATGGAAATTTCCAGAAATAAACAAGTCAATAAACAATTTATAGGTTTTAAATTGCTCACTGTTCTTAGTGTGATGGACTCTCATGCCGTCCCATCAGGGACGAGAATCACCCCTTTGCCCAGTGTACCCGCACTATGTACCAGGCCCGCCCAAAAGTCACTTAGTAGCTGCCTCCGTTATCAGAGCGACTGGTGGGATCACAGTGCTTATTTATGTTCAGTCACCTTTATTTTCCTTCATAATGGCTCCACAGCACAAGAGTAATGATGCTGGTGGTTCTGATACGCCAAAGAGAAGCCGTAGAGTGCTTCCTTTAAGTGAAAAGGTAATAAGATAATAAAGACTTAATAAGTAAAGAAAAAAAAATAACATGCTGAGGTTGCTCAGATCTACAGTAAGAATGAATCTTCTATCTGTGAAATTGTGAAGGAAAAAAAATTCATGCTACTTTTGCTGTCACACTTCAAACTACAGAAGTTCCAGCCAGTGTGTGATTAGTTAAGATGGAAAAAGGCATTAAGTTTGTGGGTGGAAGACATTAACCGAAAAAATATATATATATATAAATCCCCTCTATATGCATAAGGGTTTGGCCTATCTGCAGATTCAGACACCCACTGGCCATCTTGGCACGGCTCCCCTGTGGAAAAACGGGGGACTGTAAGTCGAGCCTTACTTACTTCTAGGTCAGCACTTTGATTTTCATCTGAATGTGTAAGTACTTTGAACGTGCAATCCATTCCTTGCTACTTGCAATTTATTACTTCAGTAATAATGTTCATTCTTGCTTTTTTAGCTGTACAGTTTACTTTGTATTTTATTCTGCTTTAGCTCATATTTGAATCTAGTTTTATGAATTCCAGCTCTTATTAAATTGTCCATAGCACAAAACACAGGGATTTTGTTCTGTCACCTTCTTCCAGACTCAGCTCTTTGATTTCTGTAATAAATGCTTTTAAAATCATTTTTTCTCTTAATTATTATATGTACCTATAGCTGCCATATTGATTATTTTTACGTTTCTTATGTTTTCTGTGGGCAGCTCTATTCACTTTTTATTTGCTGTGATGGATAATTTTTTTGATTGCCTCACTTAGAACTGAGATGGTCATCTCTGGGCACCAGCTGATGGATTAAGTATTTTCTCTGTTTTATCTCCTAAGTATTTTCTGATCTATTTCCCATCACATAAGTGTTGGAGGGCAGGGGCAAGTGAGAACTGAGCTAGGGCTGTGCATATGTTTTATGTGAATACCTGACTTTTGCTCTTTTCTTTGCGTTTTAATTAATATTCCATACTAAGTTTCCTCTACCTTCGGGCAGAGGACAAGTCTCATTTTGGGGGAAGGGCTTTGAAATGGCCTCTCAATTTAATGAGAAGTCTAGAGCCTTCACTTCCATCTAAGAACATCAAAGGTTCACGTTTTCTGACACAGTTTTTTAATCAAAGGAAACAAATACAGGTGAGTTTGCTTCTTGCTATATATATTAAGGGATACTAGGTGAGATTTCTCAGGAATTATTAGTTTGCCTTCTGCAGAGTTAAAAATAAGCAATGCTATATTTCAATCTTTTTAAAATCTTGGACTATTACTGCTTTCTGAAGTTTATGGCATTACATGTATGAGCCCTTTTCCTTATTTGGTTGCTGACCTAGTAGTTGCTTTTTTTAAAACCAGTTTTTGTTTGGCACTAGGGGAAGGATTTTGTGACCCAGCCTTTCTCCTCCATCATTATCTGAAAGTCAAGAACAACATTTAAGAGTCAGAAAGTGAAAAAGGATGCTGTAAAGAAGATGGGGTGGCCAGGGAGATAGGAGGCAAATCAGGAGAGTGTGGTACCGCAGAAGCCAACAGACAGGTGTCTCAAAGCCATGCAAGTGGTTCAGAGTCAAATGCTGAAAACAGTCCATCATACTGTAAGGACTGCAGAGTGTACACTGGTGTTGGTGACAGGGAAGTGAGATGCTGGACCTCAATACCAAAGGAAATAATTTTGTGAAGTTGACACCCTCAGCGACAGGTTACGTATTGCTGTAATTGGTATAATGAAATACACTAGCAATATTCAAATAAAGCGTATGTATGGTCAGATTTAGAGAATAAAAATTCATTGTTACAAAAATATACTAATGATATATATTTAAAATATAATTAAAAAAATTTGAAACCATGAAGAATATGAGGTTTGAGGCTATGTGTTTGGGGGAGAGGGAGCAGACTACTTCATGGTATCCATGGCCTTTGGGGATACCAGCCATAACTTGGACTTTCTGGGTAATGTGTTCATGTCAACATTTTTCCCCAATAATCATTTATCTATAGATACTACTGGAAGTTATTTACATTTTAGCCCAATTATTTACTATTATATTTTAAATATAAATAAATTATCAAACACAAGACTTAAAACTTCCTAAAATAATTTTGCTTCCAAATAATATTTCTAACCCCAAATTTAAAAAAAAGCTTAGCCTTTTTGTATAAATTAATTATTCATTTTCATTACCACGGAATCTGGGTGAAGTCTTTTAAGGCGTTCCAGAACTTCTGCTCTCTTCTGCTGGCGTTTTCCCTCGTGGTTATCGATTCCAGCATTCTGCAGTTCACCTCTAATAAGATTCATCTCTTCATTAATTTCAGAAATTCTTGATTTTGTTTTTTCAATTTCATCCACCAGGGTTTCCTCTTGCTGTTTTTTCTCTTTCAAGCAATCCCTACATAATAACAATAATAAATTATATAGCAAAAAGAAACACCAAAATTTAGGAGTCACAAGATAAAATGTACTCAGGTCTGGCACTGCAGGGGAATGGACCAGTGCTCTATCAATTTTAAATGACGAAAAATGCAATTGAATAAACTAAGCATCAAACTTGGGCCAAAGAGATTTTGATCATTCTTTGATTCAAAAGATATATATTTCTGGCCACTGAAAAATCACTAGAATTAGAGCAATCATCATGAGCATAATAATAAGTAAATGCCAATTTTAAAAATTCTTAGTGGTAGAATACTTAGGTTGTACTAGCTTTCATGACATAACTTTCATTATAAGATATCAATACCAAGAGAGTTTTAAGTTTCACCACTGTTAAATATTTATATTTTTAAAACTTAAATATTTTATTTATGTGGTTAAGTATAATTTTTAATTATCTACAATGAAATGAAAACAATGGAGGAGTGAAAACATTGATACAATGAAAGTATTTATTGGATGAATATGACAGATATACCAGACACTTGAAAATAAGAAAGCTGCAAAAAATTTTTCTTACATGCATGTTTTTATATACTCCTCCAACTTCTCTATTCGTTTTTTATAATCTTCTATTTGTTCTTTTATTTGTTTTAGATTTCCCTAAAATAGGAAATGAAACCTAAAATCAATTACAGCAACTCCAACAAATACAATTCTTTTTCACTATACGCTTAGAGCTTACTGTAATATCCTTAGTTGTTCTAAATTTGAAATTTATCAGTTATAACCATAGGAAAATACTCATAAGAGCAAATTTTAATTTTGAAAAGGGAGAATGATATAGAGCTTTGAGATTATAAGAATCAGGGTTCAAGGGCCGGCAAAGTGGCTCAGTTGGTTAAGAGCTTGCTCAAGAGTGCGAGCTCTAAGCAACAGCTGTTTGAGTCCCGGCCGGAGCTGAGCTGCAGCTGAGCTGCCAACAGGTGGCAGGATGGCTCAGCTAAAGAAAAAAAAAAAAAAAGAATCAGGGTTCAAATCCTGGCTCCACCATTTACTAGATATCTGATTTCCAGGAAGTATACTCTGGTAACTTTAAACTCCAAGGGGATTATTTTCAAATATCTATATACAGTTCTTATCTGTCCCTCAAACCAATTCATTCAGTAAATATGTATTCGCTGGCTACCATATGCTAGGAACTAGAGATAGAATAAAGAGGAGGCTAGAGTCCCTGCTCTCCAGGACGAAGGTCTGGTGGGAGAGACAACTAAGTAAGTAACTGCAGCCGAGTGGCTCAGTGTTACAATAGTATAGGAACGGGTGAGGCAACGATAGGCTTGTGGAAGGAGGGCTTCACCAAAGTCTTGCTCCATTCACATTATCACCAAATCCAAGTACAGAGGTAGATTCCAATTTGTTTCATATCTTTAACCTTTCCCCTGTCTAATTCATCCTGTGCACTACGGCAAGATTAGTATGTCTCACTCCATTACTAAGTAATCTAAAACCAGGAATGTACAGAAGTAAAAAAAACCGCAATTCTTTTTCAGTATACAACACCAGGAAAGAGAGGAAATACCAAAGTTTTCAAGTGGAAAGGAACAAACATATTCCATTAAGATAATTATTTCATTTTACTCATATATCACACAAATTCACTGAACAAACATCTGTGGTAGGTGCCAGAGTTATAAAAATGAGCAGGACATGGTTCATTTTCTCTAGGAATTCACACATTTTGAAATTAAGAGTCCCCATACTGAAATATTAATATCTCACTTAAGAATTCCATTCAGAGAGGAAAAAACCAGATTAGTTAAGGAGGAATACAAAGTTTAGTCAGCTGGAAACACCTGCCTCTGCCTTACTCTGGCCATGCCCAGGGCTTGTGCCATGCCACAACAGGCTCCTGTGTGGTCATTCCTTCACGTGTCAGGTGACTCTCTGAGGAATCACCGCCTGCTATGGAAAGGCTCAGAATACACTTGAGACGTGGCTTAGGTTTAAGAATAGGCTCTAGAAAATGCAGAAGGCCAGGGCCATCATCCCTCAGGGAGGTGTGTCAGGGCCTGGGCGTTCTGCTGGACACATTGCGGGGGCAGAGAATCAGACTGCCTTGGTACCAGGCATCCTGGATTTGCAATGCCAGCTGATCATGCCAGTTGTCTGGGAAAACCAACCAGTGCCTTGCACCTAGTGACCCTGGCATCTGTGGGAAGTTCCAGCCCCTCCTCTCCAGGCAGGGAGTCACTGTCCTATGGGAAACAGTTTGGGCACAGATTCCCTCATCTCTCTCCACTGGATATGTTACTCCTTCCTCTGTGGAGTATTCCAAAGACAACAGCAATTCCACCAACACTACTGCCATCTACAAGGTACAAGGTAGATGTGCAAGGGACACTATCAGGAATCTGGCCTTTAAGAAGCTTCCAGTCTAAGAGAGTTGTAGCAATTAACTGTACTTTCCTTCAGTCTGATAAAAGCCCTTAGATACAGATTAAGAATAATGGGTGACTAGATGAGGAAGAAATTATTTTCAGGGATTTTTGGTGGTGTGGAGAAAATGGCTGGCTAGTAAAGGCTTTCTATGGTGTGGGTAACCATAGACTTTAACATGTAAAGATAAGTTTTCCAAAAATTAGCATGCACAAAGGCAGAAGTGTGCAGCAAGTATTTGCAGAAAAAAACCAGTGTATGATTTATAATGCAATATCAATTATACAAGTGTTTTAAAATTAACTACTATGTTACTATGTTTGTTTTTCTCCTCCACAAAATGTCCTCTCTTCTGCTCATATGATTATCATCTGCTACACCTCTGATATTTATTCGTATCTTCATCTGCCAATCAGAGGCTACAATGAAAGGCAGTACAGTGTAGGGGTTAAGAAGATTCATGGAGACAAAGTGTTAAGAATCGAATCCCTTTTCACCTACTAGTCTACTCAAGTTAACCATCTTGTGCCTTGATTCCTTCATCTGCAAAATTCATTAATTCAACAAATATTTATTATCTGCCCTCAATAAGGGCCTATTCTAGGCATTTGGAGTGTATCCATGAACAAACAGGTGACTATCTTGGCTCTTGTGGAGTTTACATTCTAGACGGGGAAGGCAGACAAATCCACTACGTAAATTAAATAGCGTGTTAGGAGACAAACGCTGTGGGAAAACAGAGCCAGGGAAGGAGAGCAGAAAGGCGGCGGGGACCGCAACTCTAACCAGGGCAGGCCTCACAGAGAAGGCAACACCTCAGCAGAGACGTGCAGGAAGCCAGGGAGTTCAAAATAAAGAAATGTGGGGATGCATGTTCCAGGCTGTGGAACAGCCAGTGCAAAGGCCCTAAGGCAGAAACACGTTGATAGGTTCCGGAGGCCAGTCCTGGTAGATCACAGAGCACAAGAGGGAGAATAGAAAAAGAGGAGGTTTGAGAGGTAAATTAGGGTGGGAGGGGCGAACAGATCAGGCAGGTCCACGTAGGGCACTCAAGGATTTAGACTTAAACTTTATGTGCAACAGGGAGTCACTAGAGGACTTCCAAAAGAGGAAGTTTCATGATCTGATTTATATATTAAAAGCATCACTTTAGCTGCTATGCTGAGACTACTGTGGAGACGAGTGGAAGCAGACAAAATAGCAGGCAGCTACATTGATCTAAACAAACAAACAAAAGCATGGTGACTTGGACCAGGGTAACAGCAGTGAAAGTAGAGAGGAGTGATCAGACTTTTGGTATACTCTGAAAGTGGAGCCAACAGAATTTCCTAAAAGTCAAAGATGGACTCCAAGGTTTTTGGCCTGAGCAACCAATAAGACTGAACTGTAGGGGAGGGGTCTAAAAAAAAAAAAAAAAGACTGAACTGTCATCACCTGAAATGGGACAGGCTCTGTGTGGTGTGCATTTGGGTGTGAAGGTCAGAAGTTTAGTTTGGGACTTAAGTCTGAGATGGCTTTTCGGAATGGAGAAAGCAATGAGGAAGCAGCTGGATGTATGAGGTTGTGAGCTAGAAATATTATACAAATAGGGGAGTCATCGGCAGATGGTATAAAAAGCTATGAGAATACAGATCACCAAAGCAGAAAATGTAGGAAAAGAGAAAAAAACCAGGATGAGAATATAGTGATATTAATATCTACCACATAATGTTGAGGTTTACAAATAAGTTGGGTTTACAGCAGTGCTAATAAACACAGTATGTACAATTAAACACTACATTATAATGATATTATTGTTGTTATTCCTGGAAAACTTCAGACCTATTTTTAGAGACATATTTCATTATGAAATCCCAACCCTCAGTTTCTTCATCTGTATCCTAGAGCAAATACCTTCCTGTACAGCATTGTTGAGACATAAAGGAGCTAATGAATGTGAAGGGCCTAGCAAAGGAATCAATAAACGTTTTTTCCTCTAAATTACACATATTCATTTATAAATCAAATGTATATACAATTCAGAACCATTTCCTCATTACAATTTTGATTAGACATGGTGGTCACATTTTCAGGACGGCCCACAGACTTCATAATGTATGGTGACTTGTTACTGTTGAATTGCCATAATAATCATTTTCCAGCCCAATTATCAGCCTTTAGAAAAGCAGGTCAAGAGGCATAAGAGGAAAAGAGCAGAGGCTTGGTGCATTAGCACGCCCACTTTCATCTTATTCAATGGACCCTCACGATGCGGTAGACACACCTATCCTCAGGGCAGAGAGGAAGAAAGCAAAGCCCAGAGAAGTTAAATAATTTCGCTATTTACCAAGATTACAAAGGTCAGTAACAGAGCAAGGCCCACAGGCGCCAGGTCTGTCTTACTCTAAGGCAGACCACTATAATTGCTATCCTGATGGTCACTCCCCATGTAGGGTATTAAGCTGCTTCTGGGCCGTGTCCTTCACGTTTCCAAGTAATTCTGCATTCACCTCTGATACTTGTTTTTCCCTTTCGCTATCCTCCTCCTAACCTCACTGGACTAAGATACATGTAAGAACAGAGACTGTATCACCTGCCCATGCCTATCACTATACAGATGTGCGGAAAATGCTTACTGACGACATGAATGAGGCACCGACGATACCTTACAGCATGAAAGAGCACCTACATGATACTAAACAGCATAACAGGTAATCCAGAATTTTTTAATTAGTTGCCTATGTCTGATGTAAATCCACTTATGTATTGAAAAGCTAACAAAAAAGGGTAATAAAATTTCATCGAAAATAATTCTACATCATTACTGCACAAGCCAAGGTACCTGAACTTCTCCAAGCTTCCTCTTTTCTAACGCCAATCTGTCTTTATCAGTCTTCTGTTCCCACTGCAGTTTTTCCACTTGTTGGGTCATTATAGCCACTTTCCTTCTTACTTGTTCCTTAAGTTCTTTATATCTATTGAGCTGTATAAAGAGATTTAGACATTGGTAATGCAAAGAAGCATGAGAGGAAATTCTTTATATGATATCCTTTACTGACATAATTAATCTTATCAAAAGCACATTTTACATAAATTAGATCAGAATTGGCCATCTTTTCAGGTAAGATAATGTGAACATAAAATGAATATAAGGTCTCGATAAGGAATTCTTAAAAAAGAAAGGGGATTAAAAGGAGCTCAGAGAAAATTATGTACTTTTTTCTATTTATAGAGTCATAATTATTTTAGTATATTTAGTGTAATGTAAGTTTATTATAAAGTTAATGAAAGAGGTAAATGATAAAATTTAGTTGAATTTTTGAAAACTGAATTATGAATTTTTGGATATCTACTATCAATTTGTTATAATTAAATCTTATATACTAAATTGGATATTAATTCATCATTTTTAAAAATTTTACTGGGGAACAGCCATGGTCATTGGTTACACATTGCTTTCATGCTACAATGGCATAGTTGACTCTTCTTTAAGGAGGGCGCAGCTCACAGTGGCCCATGTGGGGATCAAACCGGCAACCTTGGTGTTATCAGCACCACACTCTAGCCAACTGAGCTAACTGGTCACCTCCCAGTTCATCACTTTTTAAATCACCTTAACTAATTAATTTCCCTCCTGTCAATTAAGTGATGTCTCTTCAAAGCCATATTTTTTCTGCCACTTAAGTTTTTATAATATTCATGAGAAAAAATGATTACCTTAAAAAAATAAGAATTACCTAATTTTTATTACAAAATGATACCATGTAACCTTCTTGGAAGTATTTTCTATGACTTTAATGGTATAATGCCATTTAATCTACCAAAAAAAAAAAAGTAGCCCAAAGATTAGATTCTGTATGCAGGCTGAAAAATTTAAATCCCTGTAATTTAGATTCTGAGAATGACCTCTTAAAAACATCAGAGAGAGGTCATCCTTCAAATTTTTTCTAATGAAAGAAGCTGAAACAAGAAACAAATGGTTTCCCAGTGTTGGCTTTTTCACCTGACTGGCTTCTAATTCAACGTCTCGCACTTCACGAGAGACTTCCTTCTCAATCTGCTTCTCAAAGCTTTTCCATGCACCATCTAAATCAGCCAGCTCTTTCTCTAGGGCTTTTATGTCATCTTCCTGTTTAGAACACTGTTTTTCACTGTCTTTTATTGATTTCTTAGCCACATCTAATTTCTTGAGATGGTGAGAAGTGTTTTCTTTGGCTTTAATGTATTGAGGCCTCTTCTGATTTAAAAGTGCTTCAAGAGATCTAAAAAGAAAAATAAAGTTTTCTTTCAAGGAAATTAAATTTTGTAACATATAAGGAAGGGGAAGAAGTTCTTTTGATCAAATCATACATTTAAAAATAAATTCTAAAAACTGTCTTTCAGAGACGAGAAGCAGGTCAGTGGCTGCCAGAGGCTGGAGGAAGATCGCAGAGGTGAAGCACAGGGGAAGTTTTTAAGAGTCGTAAAATACTCTGTACTTGTATGCTGTAACGGTTGACACATGACACCATGCAGCTGTCAAAACCTACAGAACTTTACAGCACCAACAGTGTACCTTAGTGTATGCAAATTAAAAAAATTCCTTAGGAGGCCAAGAGACCCTAGATAGAATATGGAATGTGACAAAGAATCTAACTGGACTACATGTATGAAACAGCCTTACTGGAGGGAGTGGGGAGGAAAGGTGCTAACCTACGTAACTTTAGAAAGGTGTGAAGTCTATAGTACTAAAAGCAAAAGGCACTGTGCATAAGCCTCATACTCTAGTTGAATAAAGCTGCTTCCCATGAGGGTATGGGTTAACAGCTCTGATACTGCCATACATAATTACTGGAATTAAACAACTAAGAAAATGAATGGCAGGTTGTGGAAGCCAGGTTCCTCAGTTGGAGTGGGAGGTTATAGATAAGCAAGAAAAGGTCAACATCAACAGTGATGCCAGGTTGATATTATGATATATTAGATAGATGATATGTCATTTAACATCTATGATATGTTGCCATCCCTGATATAATGTGATGAGAATGGCATTTTACTGCTGTGGTCTTCCTCCCCCAAACCCTGTCTCTGTCTAATTATGAGAAAACTATCAGACAAACCCCAATGGAGGGGTTTTTCTACAAAAAAAACCTGACCAATACCCCTCAAAACTGTCAAGGTTATCAAAAACAAGGAAAGTCTGAGAAGCTGTCACAGCCAAGAGGAGCTTAAGGAGACGTGATGACTACATGTCATATGGTATTCTGGATCAGAAAAAGAACAATAGGTAAAGAGAGAATATTAATAAAGTATGGACTTCAGTTAACAGTAATATATGCACAATGGTTAATTTTGACAAATGTATCTGGTTAATAATGTATGATGTTTAAGTAAGAGAAACTGAGTGTAGAGAATACGTGAACTCTCTATACCATCGTTAAATTTTTCTGTATATCAGAAAGTATTCCAAAGTAAAAAGTTTATTTAAAAAAATCAACTTTCAAAATGTCACTTGGTCTACATAAAATCCAACTGTTAATAACTACTTTTTAAAACTCACTTTAATTCTTTTTCTGTTTGTTGTAGTTGTCTAGTTAGCATTCCATGTTCCTTTTTCTTGGCTTTCACTATGTGTTCATGACGAGAAAGAGACTCTCTTGTGACACTCAAGTCCTCATTCATACGCTCTAACTCAGTGTTCAGAACCTGAATTTTTTTCCCATTATGATATAGTTGGAAAAGCTGCAGTTCTATCTTGTTTAGTTTCAGTTCTTCAAGGAGACTCTGGTAGCGCTCTGCCTATAAAACAGTACAATTCAACAAGAGTTCAAAGGAAGCGTATTTTAGTCGACCTTTCATAAACTCAGCTATAGTGCCAACCAATGACCTGTATGGGTTTTTATTTCGGTCATTAAGAAACAGTATTTGTGCCAAAAGTAGCATTATGTAGAGAAAGTTTTTGGGTACACTTTTACAATAAGCCAGTAAACCGGTAAATGATTTTATAGTCATGCACTCAGTGGTATGATGGTAAGAACAATAAAGAGGTACCCGCTAACCGGGGTGCTTGTCCCATTTCTGTCTTGACCTCAGAGTGTGGCAAGTCCATTAACATTTCTTACATCACCTTCCTCATTTGTAAACTGAAGGAAATTATATGACTTGTAAGGTTGCTAGCAACTTTAAATTCAATTATTCCAGGTAAAATTCATGCTATAGGATGTAATTTTTCTACTAAAAGAAATAATGGGACTATTAAAATTCTACATTATATGTGAAATGGAAGAATTTCCTTAGCATTTGTACTATTAGTGAAGGAATAAAAGAATGGGTTGCCTTGAGAGAAAAGCTCCTAATCAATGAAGTATTCCACATAACAGGTAAACAGCCATCTGCCAGGATGTTGTAAAAAATGAGGAAGTTGGACTATTCTAACTGTCCTTATAATGTTTCAAGTTCTGCAGTTCTACATTCCTGTGAGCTGCTGCAGCATTTCATGGGTGCTACAGTCTTTCACCAACGCCACCCCTTTCCACTGACAGAACCAAGGACATATACACACACGTCAAAATATGAAGCAATGAAAAACATCACTACTAAGGAACACATTTATCTTTCATTTATTTCTTTAAATATTTTTTGATTGCTTACTATGTGCTGGGCCCTGTTATTTGTGCTGGGAATATAGTGAAAAACAAGATAGACGCAGTCCCTGCTCTGGTAAGCTTATAAATATCTAGTTATTCTAATGGAGGGAGGGGAGAGGGGTTGAAGGGAAGTCAGAGGGTAAACAAGCAAACAAATAATAAGATAACATCATATGCTATTAAAGAAACAAAAAAGGGCAATGTGATAGTACCAGAAAGGGGGTGCTAATTTAGATTGGGGGCATGGACAGCAAATGCCTGCCTGAGAAAATGGCTTTTTAATGAAAACTTGATGAGAGAATATTGGGCATGCAAAAATCAGGCATACAGCTACCTAGGCAGAGGAAATAGCAAAAGCTCCAGGCTAAAATGGAGTGTGAGATGTTCAATAAACAATCAAGGTCAATGTGGTAGGAGAGTAGAGGAAGTTAAGGCTTAGGAGGTGAACAGGGGCCAAATCAGAAGGCTGGCTAGGGAGATTTGATTCTCAGTGCTGTGGAAAGAGGTTTTATGCCAGAGAAAGACAGAATCTGACTTGCATTATAAAAAAAATCACACTAAACAAATAATTATCAACCATACACAAGGCACTAAGTAGGCACTGTGAAGGGTACAAGGAGATGCCACAGAACAGCATTTGCAAAGTGTGGCCGTGGCCTCTTCAGAATCCCCAACACCCTGTTCGGGAGCCCCTGAGGTGAAAACTATTTTCATAATAATACTAAGACTTTATTTGCCTTTTTCATTGTGTTGATCATCTGCACTGATGGTGCAAAAGCCACTGGTGAATAAAGCTGCATTCCAATAAGATTGAATGCAGAAGCAGATATGAGAATTCATCTGTCTTTTAATAAGCTAGATACTAAGGAGATTACAAAAAATGTAAAACAATGATACTCTTCTAATTATTTAGTTTTAGAAAAACTAGTTTCATAAAAATATGTTATTTATGTTAACATGTAATGAGTTTATTTTTACATTGATCATTAAAATATATTTTAAAAATTTCTCAGTTTTAATTTCAAATACAATAAATATTGATAGATATAACCCACATGAACAGAAACTTTTTGGGGTCCCCAATCATGTTTTTGAGTGTAAGAGGACAAGATCCAACAGTTTGAGAGCCTCTGCCATACAATGTATAAACTCCTCAGGCTTATTTTCAGTTGGTAAAATCACTTTGGTAGTTCAAGTTGTCCTGTCTATTTGGGGGCGGGGGGACCCAAACAGTGAAAAGCATATCAAAAAGTTCATCTTTAATGACTATTGGGCTTTGTCTTATATTATTAAAAGAATCTTATTAGTAACCCCACACCAGTACCTAGCCATTCTGGCGGTTTTGGTATCCAACACTTGACTGGTTACATCTTCGTGACACCTTACCTCTTCTTTCTCTAATTTTGCATGTTTGCGCTCTGCAGCTACATTTTTTTTCTTATTAAAATTAAACTGTGCATCTTCTTCAGCTTTCTGTAACTTTCTTTTCTTTTCCTCATATTCTCCTATAAGCTCTCCCGAGGTACTGATTTCTTCAAAAAACTGGGTTCTTTCTTTGGGTTTTTTCATTGAAATCAACTCTACAGTTCCCTTTAAAAACAGTAAAGCACACCAACATATAAAATATAGTGAGGTATTTTCAAAATCACAAATCAAATAAACTATTACAGCTACTTACCTGAAAAACTAGACAGTTTTGTGCTTTGACTATTATACCTATCTTTTCCAACTCTGCTATGTAAGCAGAACGACTCACACGATTATCATCAAAATGAAATTCTGAGCATCCCCCTAAAATAAAATAAAGGCTATTATAGGAAGTATAAATATTAGACATATATCAACAACTATTTAAAGTTTAACAAAATTATTTTTCTTATTGAAATACCCAGTTATGCAGTAATATACACGTTAATAAATGCATTTAGTCAAGAAATATACTATATTCCAAGGAGTATTCTACAGCAGTAAACAAAACTGACAAAAGTCTGATCTCAAGTTGCTCATGTCCCAGTAATGAAGACAAACAAAAATGAGATATGGTAAGTAAAATACCATATTCCCCCATGTATAAGACGCACCCTTTTTGGAAAAATTTGGGGTCTAAAAACTGGGTGTGTCTTATACAGCGGTTGTAGATTTTTTTTTTACTTGTACTTCCCGCTTTTTTCGCACTTGTTTTTGTGCTCGTACAACCACTGTATAAGACACACCCAGTTTTTAGACCTCAAATTTTTCAAAAAAGGGTGCGTCTTATACATGGGGAAATACGGTAAATGTCACGTGAGAAAGTGTTAAGTGCAAAGGAGCAAAACAGAGTTGGGAAGAGGGTATGCAAGTTTCTGTGTAACTGGGAACAGGCATTGCAGTTTTAAACAAGATGGTGCTCTGGTTGGACTATCTGTGTCCCCCCTAAATTCATGTTGAAATCCCAACCCCCAAAGATGATGGTTATTAGTAGGGGGGGGCTTTTGGGAGGTGATTAGGTCATGATGGTGGGAGCCCTCATGAATGGTGTAAGTGCTCTTATAAGAGAGGTTCCACAGAGCTCCCTTGTTGCTTTCACCATGGGAGAGTACAATAAGAAGTCTGCAGCCTGGAAGAGAGCCCTCATCTGAACATGCTAACACCCTGATCTTGGACTTCCAGCCTCCAGAACTGTGAAAAAAAATTTATTGTTTATAAGCTACCCAGCCTGTGGTATTTTGTTATATAGCACAAGAATAAAGCTGGAGGCATTACACTTCCTGATTTAAAAATATATTACAAAGCTATAGTAATCAAAACAGTATGGTACTGGTATCAAAACAGACATACAGATCAATGGAACAGAGAGCCCAGAAAGAAATCGATACATCTAAGGCCAACTGATCTTCGATAAGGAAACCAAGACACATATGGAGGAAAAGACAGTCTCTTCAATAAATAGTGCTGGGAAAACTGGATATCCGCATGCAAAAAAATGAAATTGGTCTCTTATCTCATACCACATGCAAAACTTAACTCAAAATGGATTAAAGACTTAAATGTAAGACCTAAAACTGTAAGTTTCAGTTATGCAAAATAAGTTCTGGAGATCTAATGTACAGCAGTGTGACTATAGTTAACAATGCTGTATTATACTTGTATACTTCAAATTTGCTAAGAGGGTAACACAAAGAAAATGGTAACCAGCTGAGGTGGTACATGTTAATTAGCTTGATTGTGTCAATTAGACATATATTAAAACATTAAGTTGTACACCATATATATATATATATATATATATATATATATATATACAGTTTTTGTCAAGTATATCTAATAACAATGGGAAAAAATAAATTTATGATGGTTTATTGAATAAAGTAGGCTAAACAAGTCTTACTTGAGATGGAGACTTTTGAGTAAAAACCCAAAGAAAATGAGAAAACCAATGAAAATATCTAGGTAATCAAGTAGTAAAACACTTAAATTACACATTAAGGTACAAGTACTTAAGTATTTCTAAAATTTTCTGTGATTGAATTTGGAGAAAGTTAATAAAACAGCATTTATTCATTAGAATATTAAAACCATGTTCTAGTGGACCAGATGAAAACATCAACAACAAAAACAGCAAAAATAAAATCAAGAAACACCTATTTTATAGAGGCTCTGTAAACTCCTGGAATATATAAAAATATATGCATATATTTTTATGAACAAAGTCCAATCTTGTTTATTCAAGAAACAAAGATTTCGTGAAGAAATCACAAAATACAAACTCAAATATTTCACTCAAGTTGTTTTTTGCTGGCAGGAAAAACTTTCTGTGCAAACCAAAAATATGCATATAATTAATTTACCACTAAGAAAATCACATAAACACACGTAAAAAACCTCAGGAAGGGCTTCTGTAACTTCTGCCTTTAAGGTAGACCCCCTCCTTCATTTTAACCTAATAACCAGGCAAAAAAATGCTATTTGACAGTACAGGAATTTGAACAAACATGTCTGCTTAAAGACAGTGGAGAATCAAACAGGTTCTATTACTTGCTTCTGAGAATTGCTATCCGAGAGAAAATAAAAGAATCTCTAGTTCACTATGCTAGTAGAACAGGTACTCTGACTTAACTCTTGAAAAATCAAATGACTCACAAGCAAACATCTACAAAAATATACCTCGGATAATTCTTGCAAATGTTTTCTCTTTTCCACTTTCCTCCACATATACAATTTTTACACTTGCAGTAGAAGAAACAGGTTTTCCAATATGTGCTCCATGAATAAGTTCTTGAATATTTCTCACTCTTAAATTAGCTGTTTTCTCTCCCATTACAAAACTAAGTGCATCCATTACGTTAGATTTTCCTGGGGAAAAGAGAGAGAGAGAGAGAAGTTATTCATCCTTAATGATAAAAAACCTTGCCCAGAGCAAAAGAAACCAGGCCACCAGTGGAAATGGAATATAGTAAATTCCCATGTCTAAATAGTACTGTCTTGTCTATATTCAAAATGCATGTGACTGAACAACTTTACATAGATCCCTGGTTTCTTCCATGCAGCTATGGTAGAGTATTGTCTAAATTTCAGGACCTAAATATGTGGATCTAAACCCCAACTCTCTCCCATTTTTAAGTATTACGTCATGGCACATCATTTAGCTTCTCTGAATTTGTTAACCCCATTTTATAAATATTAACCATCACATGTATATTTTTTAATGGCTAACTATATCCAGGATTTTTCCAAGGGCTAGACTAAGGTTGTTAGGATATTTATGATAGGAGTGGCGGTGCAGAAGTTATATAGCAGGTCCGAGCCAGTTATACTTTGAAAAGCCTGCTGGCATCTGGGGATTTGGATTTGGGGAGGATTTCTACCACTTGCTGATAAGAATGTCTCACGTGTCTAACCTGTAGAAACAATACAAAATTCACCTGAATGTTTCCATAATTCCGCAAGATTTTTTTTAAAGGATCTACTAACGAGTGTTCAAATAAATATAAATGGAATGTCGCCTGTCAAAATTAGTCATGGATGAGTTATATCGAGTTTTGGCCTTCATATAGCAAAAAAAAAAAAAAAGTGAATGGCTTAGCCAAGTTCAGTAGTAAGTAGACTAGACATTTTTGTTGTGAAGAGACGGTATTGAAGGCAACGCTGAAATAATCCCCTACTGGCTTTACGTGGTTAGTAGGGATTCGCAGGAGGGGAGTTGAGATTCCAGGGGAGGTGGATGTAGGGGTGGGCAAGAATAATTCGTGAAGGCATTTTCACAGTAAACCTTAAGATACGCTGCTAGAGCACAGTACGTATTTTTGAATGAAGAACAGTAATAAGATTATCTTGAAACTTAAGCGTGACACTAGTTTAAAAAAAAATCTCCGAACGCCACTTTAACAGGATCTTGAGTGGTCAAGGGCAGGTGCTCGTGGAATTACAGGGGAAGGACCGAGCAAACCCTTCAGGTAACCACCAGTGAGCAGGTGAAAATCAACGGCTGGGGGGCCCAGCAGCCTCCGGATAAAGGAGCGGAGAAGGTCAGGGCAAGAATGCCAACGCGTATACAGTGGTTTATGTTTTCAACATGTTGTTTGTTTTGGTTTTTTTTATAACAATAATGCGCGAGTGAGGAAATCGACTACATAGAAGAGGCAAGGAAATCTTCAAAGAATGTGAGCACTCCTAAGCTCGGGCATGCTTTCTCGTTACAGCATCACAACCGTTCGCTCCTCCATCATCACGCCCCAGGTGTGGGGTGCTGGGAAAGCAGCACGTATTTTTAACTGTCCTGTTCTTACCCATCCAACAGTGACTGAGGGTGAGAGGTGTCTTTCCGCTCAAATATGGTTTCTGAACGAAGGAAGGAAATCCGGGCCGCGAGAGCCGAAAGGAAGACCAGAGCGAGGAAAACCCTAAGCCCGCTGCCATTTCGGGCCCCCTCCACCTGCTCGGTCATCACCCCGAGTTTGCCGTCACTGTGCGCGGGGGGGGGGGGCTGAAGTCCAGGCTCTGCCACCCACCCACCCACCGGGAAACCCTGTACGTCGTCCGGCCCCTCCCAACCTGTTTCCACAACTACAACGTGGGGTGACACCCATTTGTGAGGGTTACACGAAAACGGCGGTGCCAGGAATCTGGTAAAAGTTCAGTCCACACCGTCGTTATCGCCATATTCCTGCGCATCGTGTAGAGACGGTTCCTTGGGCCCCAAAGGTTGTTCCGGCCCCTGGGAACCGACTCCTTCCTCCAGATCTCGCTCCCATGTAACCTCTGGCTGAGAAAGGGCCGGGGCCGGCGCCGGGGGGACGGGACTGGGGCCGGGGGCAGAGGAACCCCACTGGGCGGGCGGGCGGCCGGAACACCGGCCGAGCAGCGGCCCTGGGCGGACCCGGGGCTGAGGGAGCGAGGGTGAGGGGCGCCCACCCCTCCCCGCGCAAGGCGCGGTGTCGGGGACCCGAGGTTCAGGCCGGGGTGTCGTCCGACGGTCAGGCCGGGGCAGACGGCGCGGGCCCGGCAGGAGGAGGCCGAGGCCCGCAGGCAGCAGGTGCCCGAGCCCAGGCCGTGTGGCCGCCGGGGGCGGGCGGAGGTGTTCTGGGTCCCAGTTACCCGAGCCGTTGGGGCCGATGATACAGGTGAATCTTCTGAACGGGCCAATGACCTGGTGGCCCCGCCACGACTTAAAGTTCTCCACGACCAAGACCTCCAGGTGACCCATGGCTGCGCCTTCTGCGCCTCAGGCGCGTCTTCACACGAAGGCGGGAAAAGCGCGGGAAGGGCCTCGCGGAATCTCGCGAGAAGAGAGCGAGCACACGGCGAGCGCTGCGCCGTTCCTTAGCAACCGGGTTGTTTACATCTCCCGGGAAACCGGGTCTCTGCAAACTCCGCGCGGTCGGAGAAGACCCGGACTGAAAGCCTGGGGAGCGGGCTCGTAGCCCACCGGCCCACCGTCCTAAGGAGCCAGCCTCGCTTGGGCTCCAGCTTGTCTTATTTTTGTTGCCTTTTCTCTTTATCTCGCATGTTTTAAAACCTCGTAGAATTTCTTGGCGATTCCCAGTCATGGAGGTAGTGCAGCCCAAGGACCTGGGGCAGTACTGTGGCTTGGCCAAGAGGAGACATGCGGAGCTGTGCAGGCAGAAACGGATATTCAACGCCAGGAACAGGATCATCGGGGTGAGACCCTCGGGCCCCACAGGGAAAGGGGAGAGGGGGGAATGTGGAGCGGCCGGTAGGGGGCGAGAGAGGCGGACGGCTGGAGCGAAGAGGAGAGAAACCCTTCGAAAGAAACTTTTGATCCAAGCACAGCTGCAAACGGTACTAGGTTTTTCCGGGGAAAACTAGTTAGATATACTGACTTGGCTGAGGATGAGAGAGACTTTAACAGAACAAACAACGCTCTCCCTCACTTGCCAGACAGGCACACTGAGCCCTAAAGTGGGGAGGGAGTTTGCCTGGAGTTAGTGGTCAAAGAGAAGCTAGAGTAGGGTTCTCTCGCCAAGCCAGGTTTTCTGCATTGCCAGGGGTTCCTTCCATTCTTTTGACAAATGCCACTGGAGTTCCTGTTTTGTGGCAAGCCTGATCTGGGCCCAGGAGATGAGGAGTTAAGGCAGCCCTTGACCTTGCAGAGTTTATGGCCCAGTGAGGAGGCTGACTTTAAAATTCCGTGGTGGGATTAGTGCTGCGAGGGAGAAGAGCACAGATTAGGGCTGAAAGAGGCAATCTGAGAGGGCTTCCCAGAGGAGGCGTTGCCTATTCAGTGTTCTGATGAGTATCTGTTAACTAAGATAAGGGGGAAGGAAGCTCTGAGGACAGGCTGAAGAAACAACTATAAGCAAAGGCATTTAGGTGTGAAAAGACCTGATGTGTACCTAAGACAACTTGTTGACAGTGGGGCAAGGATAAAAAGATAGGTAGCATTGTTAATAATGGAATAAAATTGTCTGGCTCTAACTCTTCTCCCCTTATTTTCCATTCCAGGGAGATACAGAAGCCTGGGATGTTCAGGTTCATGACCGGAAGATAAAAGAAGCAACTGAAAAAGCCAGACATGAGACCTTTGGTGGGCGTTTCTTAAATGCCTATCTAGCGGATTAGGGCTGTGTGCCAGTCCTCATATCTTCACATACCAGGGGTGCCCAAAAATGTTTACACATGACTTGTATTCATTTTTTGTTATAGGTATATATTGAGTATTACAATTTTAATACAGTTTTCTCCTTTCTTAAAATGTGTATACATTTTTTTGGTACCCTCTGTATAAAAAAACTTGTCCTTTTCACTTTTCCTTCTTTTAAAATGTCATAATTCCTTTTGCTCAATTAACTGAATGCACTAATTCTTCCTCTTTTAAAAGCAGCTATTGAATTCTATGTGAGTTGTAAGAAATGTATTTTGAGGATAAATGTATGTTTCAAAAAAAAAACTGGATACAAAAACCCTTAAACATACATTCTCTGCCAAAAATTTCAAGACTTTCTATCAGGGACAGTTATGTATACTAGATGACACACACACTCCCAGTTCACACCCTGAGTTGACTCAGAACTAGATATGGTTCAAATAATAGTATTTAAGCTCTTAGATAAAATTTTCAAATAGAATTCATTTTCCTACATGATGTGCAATATTTCAGCTTTTTTTTTAAGCACTATAAGGATTTTTTAAATAGAAAAAAGCAGGGGGCCCCATCTTCTTACGGAACCCCCATATGTATGTACATACTAAATTTTGTTATTTTCTTCTGTTTAAAAAAAATAGAAAAAAGCAAGACACAAAATTGTATATACAATGGGTTATCAATTAAGTTTAAAAATATATAAAAGATAAGCTTAGAAAAGGACAGAAAGGAAATACGCCAGAATGTTAGCAGTGGTAATATTGGAGTGATGAACTTATGAGTGAAGTTTATTGTCTTCTTTATAATGTTCTATGTTTTCTAAATGTTTTACCTTTTTTATTTTTAATTTAAAAATAATTCAAACTAACAAACACGATGTGACAGATACATGCATAATCACTAGATTAGATGTTAGCATTTTGCCAAGTTGGCTTTTGGGTATCATAGTTTAAGAATGCTTTTTGAGAATAAATATATGTATATTCCCCACTTCATCATTTTCCTCTTCCTCTCTCCTCAGAGGTGTGCGTCACTCCCATGCATTCTTTCTTGTACTTGTACTGTTTATGTATGTATCTATGACAATCTAAATTTGTTTTTTGTGTGTTTTAAAATTTTACATAAATGTTGTCATAGTGAATGGGATCCTTTTGCAACTTTAAAAAAATTCAATGTTGTGGGTTTTAAAAAAATTCATCCATGATCTACATATAGAATATTCATTTTAATTGGTTTATGATATTTTGTTATATGAATTAACCACAATTTCTTTATCCATTAGATTAGACTTATATTTTTCCAGTTTTTTTATAATTACAAACAACGCTGCAGAGACTATCCATGCCTTAGGTCCCTGTGCACATGAGTGAGAGATACCTAGGAGTAGAATTGTTGGGCTATAGGATATGCATGTTTTCAGTATTATGGGATATTGGCAAATTGCTTTCCAAAGTTACAAGTGTACCAAGTTACACTCCCACAAGCAGTGGATGAGAAATCTCGTTTCCCCACATCTGAATACGTGCTATTATTAGCATTTTAAATATTTTGCCAATTCATTGGATGTTTCTAACCATCTCGTAAGGTTGATCATCTTTTCAAAAGTTTATTGATTATTTAGGTTTCTTTATAGTGATTTGCCTGTTCCTATCCTTTGCCCATTTTTTGGTTGGGTTGTTTTGTTTTTTTAATTGATTTATAGGTGCTGTTTGTATGTTCAGGATTCTAATCCTTTAATGGTTCTGTTACCTTTTTGGAGGGTTGTGTGACTTCTAGAACCGCTAAAAATTCTTTTTTAAAGTCGATTCAAGTTTATTTTTCCCTCTGAATCTTAAGCTTATGGATATGTCTCTTCTAGCTGCTGAAATGAGGCAAAATGACAAAATCACATGCATATTAGAAGGTCGGGAAAGAAGAGACAGGAAAAATCTCTGCAAAGCTATTAATGACTTCCAACAGAGCTGTCAGAAGCCAGAAACTCGCCGAGAATTTGACCTTTCTGACCCCCTAGCCCTTAAGAAAGACCTAGCCTGGCAGTCAGATAAAGATGTTTGGAATACAGTGTCGGGAATGCAGAGATTCATGGGAGAGGATTTAAACTTCCACGAAAGGAAGAAATTCCAGGAGGAACAAAACAGAGAATGGTTTTTGCAACAGCAAAGGGAACGGAAGGATGCCTGGGCTGCCCAAAAATGTGCAGGTAATGAAACAAAAAGACACATTGGTTCCAATACTTTCTTCAACACATCAACTCCCGTTTTTGTTTTTTAAGTCCTATAATACTAATGTGCTGCTTTGGCCCTAGGGGGAGACAGACATCAGACCCTGTGTTCCAGGATTTAACCATCTCCAGTCACACGTCAGTCATGCAGGAAACACTTTCTGAGCTTGCGCTCTGTTAGGGTTCTAGTGGGCGCTGGAGCCCCAAGTAACTCAGAACCGGTCCCAATGTGCTTACAGTCTGCTGGATGGTAGGGAAATACATGGGTCCAGCCTATGTCGGTGTGAGTCCAGCAAGACACTCTCATCATCCCTAAACCCGATCTTCCACCTTCGTCAATGGGAACCCCATTCTTCTAGATGCCCAGGCCTCAAACTCAAGTCATCTTGACTCTTTCTTTTCTCTCAAATGCCACATCCGGTCCACTTTTAAACCACCTTTCACCACCTCTGCCATTACTGCTCTGGACTAAGCTATCAACATCTCTCAGCTGGATTACTGCAGTAGCCCGTCACCAGTCTCCCTGCTTTTGCCCTTGTTCCCTTGCAGTCTCTTCTCAACCCAGCAGCCGGAGTGACCCTGCTAATGTTAAGCTAGAGCCTTTGCTCAGAACCTTCCAATAGCTTCTCATTTCACTCAGTAAAAACCAAATTTATCTCAAGGACCAACAAGGCCTTCAGTTTGACCTTATCTCCTACTATGCTGCCCTTCATCCATCTCATCCTTGCCACGTTGGCTTCCTCTCTATTCCCAGAACTTGAGTGTGTCAGGCTCACTTCTGCCTCAGGGCCTTTGCACCTGTGGTTGGTTCTGCCTGATATCCCCAGATACCTGCCTGGCTTGCAGCCTCACCTTTTTCAGGTCTTTGCTAAAATGTCATCTAACCAGGGAGACCTCCCCTGACCCGTATTACAAATTGCAACCCTGTACCCTCCCCCACACCCACACTCCTTGTCTTTTTCCTTGCTTTCTTTTTCTCCATAGCACTGATCACCGACATACTATATGGTTATGTGTTTGTCATCCCTCTCCCCAGTATCATCTCCTAAAATCCATGAAGGCAGGAGATTTTGTCTATTTTATTCACTGCTCTATCCTTAGCTCTTGGCACATAGATAAATATGTGCTGAAATAATCACTCACAGGCCTTTAAAAATCTCATGTATCTCTCAGGTGCTCCGCTTTTCCACCCTTGGTTGAGAGCCTTTGTCTCAGCCTTGGACTTGGTCCTTCAACTGTCTCCTGGACATCTCACCAGATATCCCCTGACGTAATGGAAAGTAACCCTGCATTCTCCCCAGATCTGTTCCTCCCTCTGTCTTCCTGCCCTCACTCATCAACACCTGTTTCTCTTAGTCAAGCCAGAAACTGGGGGGTCCTCCTCTACCCGCTCTTGTCTCCCGGACGTCCTCAACTCCTGTCCCTCTACCTCC